CAGCACCACGGAACCGGAGTTGCTCTCGAGCATGTTCAAGGTCTTCCAAGTCCATTATCTTTAAAGTCAGCACTCGGGCAACATCGTAATGACTGAATTAGTACTCACAAGTTCCTGGATCCATTGAGCGGCACGTTTCCCGACACTTCAAGCCACCATAGGTCAGTAAGAGCAAACACGACATGCTTATGGAGATATTTGTGCCTCGCTCGGAGCTCGTATACCGTCGGCAAGATAAAAGTGAATTCAGGGCCTTACGTGATCGGTTGAGCGGCCTGGAAGTGTGTAAATCTAGATAATTACGATGGTCAGACTTCAAGCCTAAAAACAGCTCAAGAATTCGACATACCCCAGGGTCGGAAGGTCCTTATACTTCAGGGCAAAGGTGCTTAGGTTCTGGATGACTTTTGCAAGCTTTGGAAGCAAGAGATCCAGGCCGTCACGAATCTTTTCTTGAGTTAGTCGCGGCTAGTTGGAATGTCCCGGGAGAATGGCAAATATTATGCAACCCAAAGGGTGGCCTTCATTCGAGGGTCAACGTACGAAGATAAGATCGGCGTTGTCGGTAACGAAGCAGCTTAGATGCGTCAGGTCATGTCTTGATATCGGTTCCATACATGTACGAACCTGGTAGCACCGTAGTGAATCACACCGGCAGCAGCACTTTGAGTGGCAGTCAGTTAATAATCTCTCAGATACATCAAGTAGATGTAAGCACGTCCTGACTGTGAGGCAAGTATGGACTCCACAGTGTCTCTCGATGGAAAGTGAAGAGGACAAGAATGGAAGGGAACGTCGATAAGGTTACATACGGAGCCACTTGTCCGAAGGTCTGCACTTCACGTTAGATTTTGGGTAGACGTTCAGACGGTATAAACTAACGTGGACGTGAGCCATGACGTCGTGACGGCGGCGTGCCTCCTCCACGCGGGCAACCTCGAAGTCTTCATCAGTCATGGTCAGATTGGCCCTCATCTGCTCGAGGGCCTCGTCCGTGACCTGCTCAATGCCAAGCTCATGCTCAGCTTCGGCCAGCCACAGCCAAAGTTGACTAAGATACGGTTAGATTGATTCCAGTCAGGTCAGGCGATGTCGGCGAGAGTCTACTTGCCGCCAAGTGGAAGCCCTCGTTCTGGCTGAAAAGAGGGTGAGCATTTCCTTGGATGCATAGCGGGAGCCCAGAGGGGTCTGGTACGAGTCGTAGTTGGACATGATTGCTGTCGTTGATGGTGAGGAGCGACTGGGTAGTGTGTCAACGAAAGGATCTGAGAAATCCGATGCACCGGTGTGTTGGGTGATGAGAGGGTTGGCACCCGGAGAGATGGAAGAAATTTGAGCACTCTTCGGGCGTTCTCGGCTTGAGCGGCAGCACGTGGCTACAAAGGCAGCAGTCCCCGCGAGATGCAAAGAAGGCCAGCGATGTGGTGGCGTGATGGCAGCGACTGTGACTAACTTACCAATAATGTTGTGTTATCCAATTGGTATGATGGTCTTGAGCAATGATAATAAAGCCGACTCGATTCCGTACTCGACAAGCTCTCTGAACGAAAATCAATGGTGGGGTAGATGTCGGTGTTGCGGGGGAGGGGTAAATGTGTGCCACTTGTTTATTAGGCAGGCGGTGAAAGCCCCGTGGAAGGTTTTTTTAATCTAATGTTCTTACTGGATGCATCGTGCTAGCAAATGAATAACTAGGCAAGTTACTTGGTAGTCTATTTGCTGTGGTTTGCGCACTTCGATTTAAAAGTACATTATTCCAAAAGGACAACCCAGTAATCGCAAGCCCGGGTGCGTTCATGTGACACTCGTGAAAAAGGTAGTAATCTTTTGACTTCCTTTTCCCTTAGCTGTGCCCTGGCTCTTTGCCTGATTCCGAGTCGCGCTTATCTTACTGTGACCCTGTTGCTTAGTGGGGTCACTCAACTTGCCGTCATGAGTTGACATGGCCGAGACTTTTCGTTTTGTGCCATGCGGTTGAGTGTCGCCCAGGGCCTTCGAAGACTCCGCAGCGGGAGACTCGGTTTTGGCCAGGGATCCAGTGTCCAGTTGCCTTAACCCTGGCTCATCTTTGGAATGTTGATGCTCGGCGTCATCCTTCTTCGAGACGTTAGCAAACAAGTTGGCGATGTTGGATTTGTTCTCTTTGCTATCCAGGGGGATGATGAAAGATGGCGAGTTGTTGCCAACCTTCCCAACGTCCTTCGTTACCGGGTAGACGCTGAGTTTTCCGTCGAAAGGCTTGAGCAAAGCCTGGAGTTCGTGAGACCATTCTCGGCGACAAGGATCAAGCCACATCCTAAGATCGTCGGAGCCAGGCTCCAATACGACTGGCATGCGATCGTGCAGAAACTTCAATTGTTTGTTGGAGTCAGTGGTAATAATAGTGTAGGTGTAGGTCTTGTCATCTGAACCTTCGAATGGTCAGTGTGTGCCTTTCGCTCTGTCATGCCCGCATTGCTCACCTTCGTATTGCACGCAGTCCCAGAGCCCCGCGAAGCACATGAGGCGACCATCATCCCTCTTAACAAAGTAAGGCATCTTTTCCTTGGGCCCAACTTTCAGCCACTCGAAGAATCCCTGAGCGATGACAATGCATCGCTTCCGTGCTTTCATGGTCGCCCACATGCCGCCCGGCGTGCTCAATGAGTCACTCCTGCAGTTAATGGTCTTGAGCATCATGCCATAGTCTGGCTTTCGCTTGCTCCAGAAAGGTACCAATCCCCACTTCATGGACTGAAGCTTGTACTTTACAGGGCCCAGATCCGTACCGCCTGAGCCAGGAGCATTGACGGCGTCGGCCTCTTTCTGGCTGTTCTGATGCCCCGATCCCGAGTCCGGCGTCTCTGCGCGGTAAACAATACCGTGATACGACGGTGCAAAGTTGTAGCTGTTTCGCGGTGCCTCGTCCCCTTCGTCTTGTGGGGCATCTTCGACCGGCATGTCATCATCCTCGAGCATCCGGCGGACCTGGGATGGTCGCTGCGCGCTGCCATGAATAAATGTGAAATCCGAGCGTAGATTAACGACTTACCAGAGCCAAAGCGTACCGGCCACACATGATATTGCTTTACCCTTCCCCCCTAAGCTTGAGGTAGATATAACGTAAGAAGAGTCTTGGTCTTGCAACGTGAAGATGGAAACAACGATAGAGGCAATGGCCAAAGTTGAAAACGTCATTAGCCCTAATTAGGTTAGGCTTGTGATCCCCTATTTCATACTGGCACAGGGTTGTCGCCACGTCGATCGCCACCTAATGTGTGTGTGGTATTGGATTTGCCAAGCCTTCGCAAACTGTAAGGGACCTGGTAACCCGGAGAGTTGCATCCATGTATTAGTGCAAGTATGTGAATTGTAAATAGGACTGGACCATGTAAAACCCTTAGAATTGGGTTTTAAATGCATAAAGATCATACTTCTAATTGTTTACCATGCGGACAACGAGAAAACCTAGTTAAGATTTTCTGGACCTATCTCTCGGAGACCTCTAACACAGGCAGATCATTAAAGAGAAAAATGTAGCCCGGGTGATTGACAGTACTTATGCTCACATCATCAATCAGTACAAGCTAAAGTACTGCCTATCTCGTGTACTTCCATTGGTTTTGACCCCTGTTAACTGAGTCACTAGCACCTCTGCGCACTTAAGGAGATATCCTATGAACCCTCCTTAGCGAGTGTCCATCCAAGATCCCTTCTCAATCACCGGGCTTAGCATACAGATTTAATCCAGAATACCTCAAGTTAAGAGACAGAATACTATTGGAATTTTGCGCGTGATTGTACCGCTCTAATGGATTACATTGACGAAGCTGAATATGTATACTAATTACCTGTCCGGAAACAACGGGTGTCAGTCGCCAGCATAGCTAGCAAGACTCGCCATCATGGAGGGAGTTGATAAAAGCGCCATGAGGGCCGTAAGAAACAGTAACTACGCAAACTTTGCACTTGTTTAGAATCTTAGAGTTTGTTTTAAAAAGGATACTTCGGCCTGCGCGATGGGGAGAAAATAGTCCTCCAAGGTATTTTTTTAATAAAGCTTCCCGGGCTGACTGCTTTGCTCTCGAAACAACCGAGGGAGATTATGTGCAGTTGTTTCGTCTTCAAGCAACGCGTTTTGTTCGCAAAAATGATCAGGTAAAAGTCGGATTCATTTGTGATGGCGGTCAAGCTATCTTAGGTATGATCGACAACTTGGTAGAACGCATTAAGTATTAACTTGAAAGCTTGCAGGAAGTATGCTATAAGGATGTAGGAGGCTTAGGGCTGAAAGATTTGGACCTTTGTCTAGATGGAAGGACTAATCTAAATGATACCACAAGATAGTCAGAGCTTTTGTCTGAAAAGTAGAATCGTCCTAGCTTTCTCCTATTACGATACCAGTCTATGTTTTCAGCGATGGCATATGTGCTATACATTCATTGTGAGAGGCCCAGATCTAGCAGGGGTGTTATAATTCTTTTCATTCATTACCTAGGTCTGTTCCACCCTGTTTCGTTAAAAGTCCTCACGGAAAGTACCGCACATCTTTGCGATGCCCTTCACCTCACTTTTATTGTGTGATGGAGCTGCATAGCATACTGGGGTTTAATGCACGTAGGACCTTATGTCTGAAGGTCACTACTTAAAGTGGTAGCTTTGCCCGGATTTTAGGGAGGGCACGCTTTTTCCTTCTTTACAATTTGAACCCTACCCCTTATCTCGTTGCCTTGCCTTACCTAAGCTGTCGCAGCAGCTCTTATCACTTGAATTCACTTCTTCTAGCTAGACGACACTCAGAAGTACTGTATCTGGTGCCTGCAAGCTATCTGGTCTTGATGACACTTTTGGTTGTTGCTTAAGCTTCGATATCATCTGTGCATCTCTCTTCCTAAGTCGACAACTTCGGTCGGGTTGCTGGTTTGCACTGGCTGCATCTCCCACTAACAAAATGGTAAGATGTACGCTTGCTGAGCGATGACCTTTATAAGCTCTCAATTATTAAAAAAAATTCATCGCTTGGGGGGCTGGCGCAACGGTAGCGCGTCAGATTCCAGTAGAATTGGGGAGTCCTGAAGGTTATCGGTTCGAATCCGATGTCCCTCAACTTTTTATCCTAATTTAGAACAGTGTTAGGTTACTAGAGATAATTATTACACCCACTAATATTACACTTAATAATATAGTGAAATTATAAGTCCTTACTCCATAAGCAAGCTGGATTTATTTATTTAAGCCGATCTATAAGTGTGATGAGCCAATCCGGGAAGAGTGAGAGAAGCGGCGATACAGTGGCTAGTTCGTTGGTAGACAGCCGGTTCCCCGCTGTATGGTTCAAAGATGGGGTATGCATGGTAGATTGATTGATCTCTGGCCTTTACAATCTTACGTTCGGCCAGAGCTATATAGATAGAATAGATCAAGCGCCTCGGTAGCTGCGTATGCGCAGCATTCTAGCAGCTCCCGCGCTGGGCGTGTGTACCTTCGTCTCGTTGGCGCGTCACAATAAGGAAATCACAGCAGCTGCAAGCGCGACCTTTGCGTCTACAGTTCCCCTATATAAGGGCAAGATTGAGACGGGAGGATAATGTCAGGAAGCCCACGTAGTATCTCTACATTACGTGTACTATTGATAGAACGAGATTTCCTACTTTCCGCATCTTTCGTAACCGCTATGCTATGCCTTTCGGCGAGTCTTTCGCTTCATAGTGGACTCCGCGGCCCAAGCATCCTCAAACAAAGTCGACCATCTAGGAAAATCGTGTGGGCGGGCAGGTCGTGGAGAGTTCAGTTGATTCTAGACCAGAAGAAGATCGACCTGGAAAGGCCGAGGCGCGGGGGCCGTGGTAGCAACAAGGGCTAAAGAAGAGCTACTCGGAGTGACGATTGTGCTGTAGAGGCGACAGACATGGCCAGAGGATCTAAGCGACCAAGGCGGCGGAGGGCGTATCGGGACGGATCGACGATGTGTTGGAGAACTTGCGGCGCGATGTGAGGATGGATGAGTCGCAAAATTTCAACCTAGGCGGCGCGAGTCACTAACGAGGCGGGCGGAGGTGGGGGAGTTAGTATTTAGCTTACAGGGACTCGTGCCCCGCCATGCTGCCGACACACTACTACTGAAGGCTTAGGCGGGACGGGGCGTCATTCTTGAATGGATCGCCTCAGGTTTACGCATTCGTTGAGAACCCCACCAACTACGAATACCTACTCCGCAGGTACCTATGGGGTACCTTATGTACGCCAGTACTTGCTATTTAACTACCCGTAGCTGGTATGTGATAGTGTACCCACGGCTAGCAAAGCGAGGTCGTGATATCATCAAACGGGTACGGGCGGACTAGGCGATTACTCATTGTCAGACAGCAGATCTCTCTACGGCTTTCTAGAACGCCATCTGAACTTCCATCTTGCCACTATGTAACCCTAATTTCGTCCTTGTCCTTTACCCGTAGCATATGTTTCCAGCACCAGAGACCAGTCCTGATGTACCTTGTCTTAGGCGCTTGATGTTTCTTTGACTAGCATTAATCAATCGATCACTTCTTAGGGTCTGCTTGGTTGCCCCTGGACCGGTAGGATAGCAATTGAGAAAGAATGAAGTGGTTGACATCCTCATCCGCCCAGTACCCCATGTGTGATGCGATCGTCGCGATCGGGTTGAAGTCGAGGGCGCTTCTAATGCCACGTTAGCCCTACTAGCCTGCGAGCCTAGCTCATCTCCGACTCACTCTTGAATGCTATAGTCTACTCGTCCATTGCGATTCAATGCTCGTACTTTGCTCTCTTCTCTGCGCATTTTCCGGGCCTTGCGGTCCTCCTCCTGAGTACTCGGTGTCTCATCGTCTTTGCCTTGTTCGGTCCGCCTCTGCTGGAATTTGGAGAAGAGTGTCTCGAGTTCATCGTCTATCAGTGTCGGGCTGTGTCCACTCACTCCTGAGCTGGCTTCAAGTGTCGCGGAGTCTGCAAGCTGCTTCTTTCGTGCATCAATTCTCTCTCTCAACTTTAACGCATCGGCCGCCACCTCGCCGGCTGAAGCATCGGGGTTAGCAGGGTCCCCTTGTGATGCATTCGCTGTGATTCGAGCAACCTCGCTGCTACTGATGCCCAAGGTGTGATTCAGTATGTTGCTAGCAATACCGGCACTTAGACTTGACCACATTCCGCTAACGCTCTGCCCAACCTTGGCTCCAATCCCGGTTAAGCCTTGAGGCGCTACGTTGCCAAATATTCCCTTCTTGGTGTAGGGCAACAACTGGGGTTTCAGCGTGGCCATCGATGGCGAGATGAGCGGTTCTAGGCGGTAGCTGATGGGGTCTGACGGATGAAAGATGTTGAATAACTGTCCAACCTTGGGGGAAGATACTGACGTGGGAAGGCCAGTGATAGGAGAAATCGAACTATCCTCTGTGGATAGAGTAGCTGCATGAAGTGTGTCGTCGATAGGCTCTACATCTGATAAGACCTCAGAACGGGTGGCCAGAACAGGCTGTCGTGCAGCTATGGTCCTAAGTGTTGATATCAGCTTGTGCCGATGATCGGCTAACAAAGCCACCCGGAGGAGTAAAGAGAGTAAGCGTCGTACCGGCCTTTCAGCATTTGGAATAGTCCCACTGGGGAACCCAAGCAGAAAAAGTCTTCAACTTCAAAGTCAAGACCCAACCCTGCACCTTTCACAGATGGTTCGTGGTATCCCTGAGACGGCCAGAAACGCAATGGGGTCTTCTGTTCTTCGGCCTGACTCCTCTGTTTGCAAAGAACATCAAAGAGGATGGCAGAGCCCAAAGAGTGGCCCAGAACATGGACCTTGCCATTAAACTCGGGATTTCTGTCTTTAAAGAGCTTGAAGATTCTGTTGCACTCCTTGAGAACAATTCTCGAAATCTGCTGACGATAAGAGCTTTGGTATAACAAGACATCCAGTGCCAGATCAGATATTAGTGACCGAGCGAAGGCCATCCCTTCGATGGTAATATCTTCCAGCGAAGGGTCTGTTTCGAGAGGTTAACCATTTAGTGGTCCTCGAATATGGTTTTGGTTCACTCACAGTCGTCTTCATCATCAACAACCTCTCCCAAATCATGTTCTCCTTTCTTTTCTTGTTTCTTGGGGAAGTCCAGGAGATGTCTCCAACAGACTGGTAGCACCTGCACGCGGCAGTTACCTGGACCGGTGCCTAACTCAGAGTTGAGTGCCTTCAAATCCGCCGAATTCGCGTAGACAGATTTGATCGTCTTGCGTAAGACATTGACATCGTGGACAAAGTTGACACTTTCCATGCTGGAAACGACTTAGACCAATGTCGACAGAAAAAGGCGAAGCGACAAACGTACCGAAGACTAAGGCGCTGGCCAATGCCATGGGTTACCAACACAAGGTGCTCTATTTCTCGACCCTGTGTCTCCCCCGCTTGGGCATTGTAATCGTCCTTTATTTCTTGCTCTTCTCGTCTTCGTATCTCCTCTTCTGTCGCAGCTTCGCTCTCAATGAGCGACGAAAGTTGTCGTTGAAGCTTGAGCTGTTGTGAATCACTGTCGTTTGTTGCGGACTGGTTCGCTTGTGAGGGTTCATCATGGGACGATCGAGTGGTTGGTGGTGCAGATCTGCGTTTCAATAGCCTTTGCTGCCTTTCATCAAGGCCGGGACTATTTGCTGTTGCGGGTGAATGAACCTTGGTGTCGTTATTGGTGGCGTCCTTTTCCTTCATCTTTTCTTTTTGCTTGCTCGGCTCAGCATATCCTCGAATGAGCTTGACGCCGCTCATGTAGCCTCCTCCAGAAAACCTCTCATAGACCGAGGACGTCACCCAAGAGAGCATGCTATCAGATGATAACCAAGCTGTGTTGGCATCTTGGTAAGTAACAATACTATTCATGTACGTTCCAAAAAGTCGGTAGGTTTGGAGCTGTGGTGGAGTCGAGCTTTGAGATGATGTTGTGTTGACTGGATTGAAGGTGACAGCAGAAGAGGTCGCCATGGTTGCCCTTAGGTTTTCTCGTGAAGCTTTCGGGGTGATAGCTATCTTCGCACCAGACGGGCTGCGGTCCCTCACTATATCACCAATTAGTCACTCATGTAGCGCGGGGGGTGGTTACTTCATTACCTGGATGTAGCCACGGCTTCATCTTGAGATATCCCTCCACACTATGTTAGTATATTTCCAGTTGAGACGAGCCTCGACTAACCTCCTCGAGCTGTGCGGCCAGGTTCTCTTCGCATGAGCGCAGATTGGATCCGTCCTGATAGAACCAAGTTCCCCGCCGAACTAAGGTATGTCAGCGACCATGCCGTTGATGTCGGTGTGTGTAAACTAGTGACAGACCTTCATAGATCGGCCCCAGCCAATATACTGGGCCCAATTCTCGTGCTCCAATGTCAACATCGAACAAGAAATCTTCATTGACAGGTACATGTACGGTACTCGTTGAAGCAGGAGAGGTTGTGAAAGATAGTCCCGGGCTCGAATTACGGGCATCTGCCTTTCTCTTCCGAGAGGCCAAGCGAGTATCGCCTGTGCTTGGGGGCTGGTCGTGTTCTGTTGCCTCCAAGAGTTTTTGATACTCGTTCTCGAGTGACCTTGAGTCGGAGGCCGAAAATGCGGAGAACTTCTTCGGCTGAGCTGTCGGTTGTGGAGGCTGAGTAGGCGGTTGGGTGGTGGGAGCAAGTTGAGCTTTCCGTTTGGGGACCTGTGACTGGGTTAGCCGGATTCCGATCGTGGGAAGAGAGAATATCTACATCCACGGCATGAAACCATTGAACCTTTAGGGGCGGGCAATCTGGGGGGTAAGTCTTGAAGCTCTGGCCATACAGGTGCGTGGTGCTATGATCGTCTGGATTCGCTGGAACGGCAGGAGGGTTCTGCTCAGACTTTCCGCTCTGAGTTGGGGTTGTGCTGCGGCTGCTCGCCCAAGGATTGATAGAATTGACAGCAGAGCTCAAGTAGGACTGTTCTGCCTTCTTCTCTGGTTGTGCCGGCGCCATGTTCGTGGCCGAGTGTATCCATAAGACACGGCGAACCGTGCCAGACTGCCCAATAACTGGTCGTGAGGGGGAGGGCGCGGGGGATGATAGATAAGAACGCGCACGTAAGCGGCTGGAAGCCAACG